GATCAACCAATCCAATAAATTGCTCAGTTCTTCCAGTTCACTTAGACAAAATATGATTTTTCTTTAAAAATATGCAAACTTGTTGGAATTCATTTCTTCATCTACAAGTATAATGATTTTGACTAATTTTACACAAAAATATTGCCAAGTGTGGGCTTCATAAATCTGTCTCATTTTGTTACTTGCTACTCTCCCCAGCTGCTTTGAACTTAGCAGAAAACTGCCAAATTAAAAAAATAATAATAATAAGCTATCATGTGCTGTAATTTCCTCTTTGGGGGCATTTTTAATTTTGTCATTGTACATCTTATGCTTTAAAGTAGATTAAATACATCTGATCCGGTGCCCGAGAAACAATTATTTCCAGTGTTAAAAACAGAATTGAGAATTCAGGGGATGGGAAGTTAGAACTTGAACTCTGTCTTAGATTTTATGTGACATGTGTTAACATCTCATCTAATTACATTCATTACCTTATTCATCTTTAGAAACAAAATATTAATGAAAACTGAAAGGACTGAAATAACAAAAAATGGATTTTTTTCTGGCCTTATATTCATACTGAATGGAAGTGTACAATTCATTGAATGATACCCAGTTAGGTTGATGAGATGGGGCTTTGTGATGGAGTCAGATACATTCAACAGGATGTAATAAATAAGAAACACGTAATGAGTCTGGGCACGGTGGCTAATGCTTGTAACACTAGCATTCTGGGAGGCCGAGGTGAAAGGATTACTTTAGTTCAGGAGTTTGACACCAGCCTGGGCAACAGAGACCTCATCTCTACAAAAAGTTTAAAAATTAGCGAGGTATGGTGTCATATGCCTGTGGTCTCAGCTACCTGGGAGGCTAAGACAGGAGGATTGCTTCAGCCCAGGAGGTTGAGGCTGCTGTGAGCTGTGATTATGACACTGCACTCCAGCCTGAGTAACAGAGCAAGATCCTGTCTCAAGTAAAAACAAAAACAAAAATGAAAAACAAGAAACACGTAATGGAGTGTTAACGACTAAAAGGTTAAACTGGTTAGCATTGGCTCAGAGGCTCTAGCACCGTAATCCAGACTATCATTTGTCTTATTAGATTTTAAGACTCAGAAGAGCTGAGATGAAAGGAGGGTTATTTTTAAATAATACTTTTATGAAAATATAATTTACGTTCCGTAAAGCTTACCCTTTTAATGTGTACAATTCAGTGACTTTTTAGTATATTCACAAAGTTGTGCATAGATCACCACTAATTGTAGAATATTTTCATCACCCCAGAAAGAAACCCCATAGTCATTAATATTCATTCTCCTTTCCCCCTTCCCTTCAGCCCCAGCCACTGCCAACTTACTTTATATGTATGTTCTATTTATTTGTCTATTCTGAATATTTTACATAGATGCAGTTATGCCATGTGTGGTGTTTTACTTCTGGTTTCTCTCCCTTAGCATCATGTCTCTAAGGCCCATGCATGTTGGAGCATGTGTCAGTGCCTCATTCTTCATTATGGCCAAATAATATTCCAATGTTTATATGCATTATAAATATTTCATTTACCAGGCATGGTGGCTCACACTTGTAATCCCAGCACTTTGGGAGGCCGAGGCAGGCAGATCACGAGGTCAAGAAATTGAGACCATCCTGGCCAACATGGTGAAACCCCATCTCTACTAAAAATACAAAAATTAACTGGGTGTGGTGGTGTGTGCCTGTAGTCCTAGCTACACAGGAGGCTGAGGCAGGAGAATCGCTTGAACCTGGCGGGGCGGAGGTTTGCAGCGAGCCGAGATTGTGCCACTGCACTCCAGCCTGGCGAGAGAACAAGACCCCGTCTCAAAAAAAAAAAAAAAAAAAAAAAAGAACAAATCTTTTATTTATCCACTCATCAGTTGATAGATATTTGGATTGTTTTTACATTCATAATGCTGCTATGAATATTTCTGTACAATATTTTGTATGGACATATATTTTTAGTTCTCTTAGGTACATAGGAGTGGAACTACAGGATCATATAGCAAATCTGGGTTTAACTTTTTTTTTTATTTAATGTAATTTTTTTTTTTTTTTTTTTGAGAGGGAGTCTTACTCCGTCACCCAGGCTGGAGCGCAGTGGCGTGATCACGGCTCACTTCAACCTCCGCCTCCTGGGTTCAAACAATTCTCATGTCTCAGCTTCCCGAGTAGCTGGGGTTACAGGCATGCACAACCATGCCCGGCTAATTTTTTGTATTTTTAGTAGAGATGGGGTTTTACCGTGTTGGTCAGGCTGCTGACCTCAAGTGATCTGCCTGCCTTGCCCTCCCAAAGTGCTGGGATCACAGGTGTGAGCCATGGCGCCCAGCCCATGTTTAACTTTTTGACAAACTCCCAAACTGTTTGTCAAAGCAGCTGTACCATTTTACATTCCCACCATCAAAGTCTGAGCATCCAATTTATCCATTAACTCACTGATGCTTCTTCTTATCTGTCACTTTTATTATTTCCATCCTAGCAAGTGTGAAGTGTTAACTCGTTGTGGTTCTCATTTTCCTTTCCCTGATGACTAATGATGTTGAGAATCCTTGTATGTGTGTATTGACCATTTGGATGTCATCTTTAGAGAAATGTCTGTTCTAATCCTTTGACTGATTTTAAATTGGGTTCTGTGCCTTTTCATTTTTATTTTTTTCCTGAGTTGTAAGAGTTCTTTATATGCTTTGGATACAAGTCCCTTATCATATACATGACTTGCAAAACTCTTCTCCCCATCTGTGGGGTTGTCTTTTTACTGATGGTATCCTTTGTAACACAGAAGTTTTAAATTTTGATGAAGTCAAATTTATCTATTCTTCCTTTTGTTGCTTTCGGTTATGTCTAGGAAACCACGGCCTAATCCACTGTCACAAAGATGTACTCTTCTGTTTTCTACTAAGAGTTGTATAGTTTTAGCTCTTACACTTAGATTTTATTCTATTTTTGGTTAATTTTTGCATAGGATATAAGATAGGGATCTAACTATATTCTTTTACATGTAGATAACACTTGTCCAACACTATTTATTTAAAAATATATATATATATATTCTTTTACCCTTGAGTTGTCTTAGTACCCTCATGAGGAGGAAGCTTTTTGGGTGAGTTTGTCTCCCACGAAAATGTAGAAGACCTTTGAAATTCCCTTAACATTCACAGTAACAAGTTTCTGGTTTCCCGAGGATTGAAGAAAAAGGTGTTCCTTCTCCCCAGCAATAGGCTAGCTGCTGGGTGTTGTGGCTCACATCTGTGATCCTAGTACTTTGGGAGTCTGAGGAGGAAGAACTGCTTGAAGCCAGGAGCTCAACACCAGCCTGGCCAACAAAGTGAGACCCCATCTCTAAAAAGAAATTTTAAAAAATTAGCCAGGCAGGGTGGTGCACCCTGTACTTCCAGCTTCTTGGGAGGCTGAGGTAAGAGGATTGCTTGACCCCAGGAGTTTGAGGCTACAGTGAGCTATGATTGCATCGCTGCACTCCAGACTGGGCAATAGAGTGAGATGCCATCTTGAAAACTAATTGATTTATTAATTCATTAAAATTTAAACAAAAATTCAAAAACCAACGTGATTGGATTCTTCTTTATTGAATACCTGCAACAGACTATCATTCCATCTAGGAACTTATCACAATCTCTGTTGTTCTTTGGCCACTTGAAAAAACTTGCCCTGCCACAGAACGTGTATTTCAAAGCTTAGCTGAGGCTCCAGAATCCCAAAAAATGCCTTTATTATTGAATCACTGGATAAGATTTGGAAAAAATGGTGCAGTCATTGACACACTATAAGATTGCAAATCTGCTATACGATCAAATGTTCAAATAAGGATGAGACACTGAAAGATTGGTGAGGCCATTCTGCCTTAACCAACACTTCAATTGAGAGAGGGTCAGGTAAGGTGGCAGGTAACTTCTTTCCAGAAAGTCCATTGAAGAAAGTGAATCATAAAGGTCAATCTGAGTCCAATAAATCATTCTACTTCCTTATAGATCCGAATGCCATGATTCGTAAGCAATTCTCCTTTTATCTCATGTTAAACTCTCTCTCAACAACTTCACCTCTAATTCTTTGTTGAGAAAGAGCAACTCGTTTCTGGTGAATCACTTTGGAGTAGACTACTTCTAAAATAGCCCCCAGTGATCCTTGCCTTCTGGTAGGTATGTCCTTGTGTAACCCCTCACCATGGGTGGCCTAGACCTAATGACTTGCTTCTAAATAACAAAAGTGATGGCCTATTACTTCTGAAAGTAGGTTATAAAAGGCTGTGACTTCTATCCTGCTGGCACTCTCTTGCTGTTTCTCACTTTCTCATTTTGATTAAGCCAGCTACTCTATTGTGAGCTGCCCTCTGGAGAGGCTAAGTACTAAGAAACTGTGGCTCTTAGTCCAACAGCCCAGCAGGAACTGAATTCTGCAAACAGCATTGTGAGTAAGCTTGAAAGTAGATCTTGCCCCAGTTACGCCTCAAGATGACCGCAGCCTTGGCTGATACCTTGATTGCAGCCTTGTGAGAATCCCTGGGCTGGAGGATCCAGTCAAGTCATTCCCAGACTCCTGATCTACACAAACTGTGTGAAAATACATATTCTTGTTGTCATCCACTAACTTTGGGGATGATTTATTATATAGCAGTAGATAACAATACATGATATTACTTGATCCACTGTTTTCTATTCTGTGCCCCAGTTCCTCAATAAACTGCAAGTGATGTCAAATAAACGCTTCCTAAATCCTGGGTTTTCAAATCCTTTCTTGAAACTCTATCTTTCCAACCTCTCATTGCTGTTCAATTACTGGACCATTCTAACCCTACTCGCTCCTATTCAGTCTCAATGAAAAGTCTCATTTTCACTGCATCATCTGGATGTTCATTGTCTCACCACCAAATTGCACCTTTCTTCTCACAAACGCCTTCAATTTCCTAGTGTTAACCAAAACCAGGTTTCTTCAAAACCATATCAAAGCCTTCTTCAATGGAGAAAATTCCTGCTGTCATCCCCTGCCCAACCCAGCATCCTGCTCTGTGTTTCTGCCATTTGCTAATCATGGGAAGTTGGGTTATTATTTAAGCCCTCAAAACCTCAATATCTTCATTTCTTAAATGGGGATAATATCTAACTCACTGAATTGCTCGAAAATTAGTAAAATGGTGTAGGCAAAAGTGCCTGACAGTGCTCATCCCTCAGCACATACCCGATTGATAATTGCTTTTTTTCTTTCCTGATATCAATTTCTCATTCATTTATTTAATAGTTTCTTATAGACTATATTATGGTCCCTTTTTTAAGGCAAGTCCTGGTGATACAGAGATGAAGATACTCACCATCTTGAAGATACTCATCGTCTGCCAGGGATACAGCATTTATCACACTTTTATTGAAGTTATTGGTTGGTCCATGATAGAGGCTCATATTCTGGGAAAACAAAAACAGGGTACTTATTATTATCCTGACAACTCTTTACTAATTCATGCCACTTACTTATATCTGCCTCTTTCTTTAATCTTCATTATAATCTACAGAATTCCACAACATTTTTCATCCCTCACTCTCCAACTTTTGGCTTGGAGTCTTTCTTTCCACTCTCCTCTGGTCATTACTCCCTAATACAATCAGCTACCATGTTAAATTATTTTAACATAATGGCTCTCACAATTCCCAAACAAATCCTATTATTAGATCCCAAAGATCTAATAATAATCCTACCTTTAGTATTGATTAATATGGCTATCCTCACTCTTCTCCCTTAGACTTCATCATCTTTATTCAAACGTACCTCTTCTTGCACTTGCTATGTCTTCTCTTAGAACATTGTTTCCTTCCCTATTGCTTGACTAATTCCTAAGCATTCTGTGCATCCTTGCCCGCCATCGTATGACCCCAGCTAATCACCTAATCAATCATTGTTTCCCTGCAGACACCTGATGCTTCAGGCCATTGTATCATTCATGGATCCCAGGCACAATGCTTATCATCCTCCTTCTAAAATTATGTTCAGTCATTTGCTCCATGAAGGATGCCTTCTCCCCTCAACCAATATTAATCCATCAGAATCTCAATCATCCTTCAAGGACCATTACAGACACAATGTTTTTCTTGTTTTAAATGCTTGTGCTCTTTCTTTTAACCCTAAGGATGTTTACAACACTTTTTTTTTTTTACAGCATTTAAACTACATTCTTGAGGCTAGTGTCGTAATTTTATAGTTACATGTTTATTGTCTAAAGTATATCTCCTAATGTTTGTTTGTTGTTGTTGTTGAGGCAGAGTCTCGTTCTATTGCCCAAACTGGAGTGCACTGACGCCATCTTGGCAAGGGCAACACCTCCCAGGCTCATGAGTTTCTCATGCCTCAGCCTCCTGAGTAGTTGGGATTACAGGCGCACACTAATGCACCCAACTAAATTTTGCATTTTTATTTATTAATAATTTTTCTTTTTTTGAGACGGAGTCTCGCTCTGTCGTCCAGGCTAGAGTGCAGTGGTGTGATCTCCACTCACTGTAAGCTCCGCCTCCCGGGTTCACGCCATTCTCCTGCCTCAGCCTCCCAAGTAGCTGGGGCTATAGGTGCCCACCACCACGCCTGGCTAATTTTTTGTATTTTTAGTAGAGACGGGGTTTTACCATGTTGGCCAGGCTGATCTCAAACTCCTGATCCCAAGTGATCCACCTGCCTCAGCTTCCCCAAGCGCTGGAATTACAGATGTAAGCCACTGCACCCGACTGAAAGTACATACCCTAATGTTTGAAAACCAAAATTATGTCTGTGGCAGCATGAGAATGTTCTTCACAGATCTTTCAAGATAGGAGGATAATAGAACAAGCTCTGGAATCCAGCATCAGGTTTGTGCCAAGGGTATACCTCCCACAGGCTGCTCCTGGCCAATGACTGAATGTATCAAGGGATACTCAGGCTAACCCATTCTTTGGACACAAAGGCTCTCCTCTGATGGCCAGCTTTGACTTAGGACTCCCCAGGAGCACTACTGAACTTCCCTCAGATGGAGGGCGATATCCATTTAGGGTCACACTTGCTTCTCACTGTGAAGGCTCTCCAAGTCTATCACAGCCCCCTCCCCATTTTCCTTCATATGGCATTTTCCCAGATGTTTCCAGCTGTTTCCCCACATGTTTAATCCAGTCTTGGCATCCACTTCCCAGAAGACCTGGAATAACAAAACTGGTGCCAGGAGTGATCCTCAGAAACAGGCAATGAGTTGAGGATAGAACTGGCTAACCTACCACCCAGCAGAGGAAGAAGACAGTATCCTAGTTGGAAGGAGGGGCATGGATAGTCACTGGCATGAGGTAACCCACCATTCCTCTAATAAGGACTAGCATTTCCCACTGCAGAAGCCCCTCTCCCACAAAACAACACATGCCAGTGGTAAATGAAATGATAGCCCCATGCCCCGCACCGCCCTTCCACACATACACGAAGATGTCAGGTCCTAATTTCTATAACCTTTGAATATGTTACATTACATGGAAGAAAGGACCTTGCACGTGTAATTAATTAGAATACTGAGGTATGAAGATTATCCTGGGTTATCTGGGTGGGCTCAAAGTGTTCTAAACAATGATGAAAAAACCAAAGATGACACAAACAAATGAAAAGACATTCCATGCTCATGGGTTGGAATAATTGATATTGTTAGGGTGACCATACTTTCTAAAACAATCTACACATTCAATGAAATTCCTCTCAAAATACTAGTGTTATTCTTAACAGAAACAGAAAGAAAATCCTAAAATTCATATGGAATCAAAAAAGAGCCAGAACAGCCAAAGCAATCCTGTGCAAAAAGAACAAAGCTGGAGGCCTTACACTGCCTGACTTCAAAATATATTACAAAACTGTAGTAACCAAAAAATCATGGTATTGTTATAAAAATAGATACTTGAACCAATGCAACAGAATCCGGAAATGAATCCATACATTTATAGTCATCTGATCTTTTGATAAAGCCATCAAGAACAGACACTGGAAAAGGACACCCTCTTCAATAGGAAAACTGGATAATCATATACAGAAGAATGAAACTGGACCCCTATCTCTCACCATATACAAAAGTCAACTCAAGATGGACTAAAGACTTAAACATAAGACTTGAAATTATAAAACTATTAAAAGGATATTGATCTAGGCAGAGAATTAATGGCTAAGACCACAAAAGCATAGGCGACGAAAACAAAAATAGGCAAATGGAACTACATTAAACTAAACAGCTTCTATACAGCAAAGAAAACAGTCAATAGAGTGAAGAGGCAACCTCTTGGATGGGAGAAAATATTTATAAACTACTCATTCAACAGGGAACTAATATCCACAGTATACAAGGAACTCAAACAACTCAGCAGTAGAAAGAAAGAAAGAAAAGAAAGAAAAAAGAAAGAAAGAAAGAAAGAAAGAAAGAAAGAAAGAAAGAAAGAAAGAAAGAAAGAAAGAAAGAATCCCATTTAAAAATGAGCAAAGGACATGAATAGACCCTTCTCAAAAGAAGACATACAAGTAGCCAACACATATATGAAAAAATGTTCAACATCATTAATTACCAGGGAAATGCAAATCAAAACCACAGTGAGATATCTTACCCAAGTTAGAATGGCTATTACCAAAAGACAAAACATAAAAGATACTGATATGATTACAGAGAAAAAGGAAAAGGGAGCTCTTATACACTGTTAGTGGAAATGTAAGTTAATACAGCCACTATGGAAAACAGTATGAAGATTCTTAAAAAAATTAAAATATAATTACCATATAAGCCAGAAGCTTCACTGTTAGGTATTTATCCAAAGGAAAAGAAATCAATATATCAAAGTGATTACAACACTGCCATATTTGTTACAGCACTATTCACAATAGCAAAGATATGGAATCAATGTAACCGTCCATCAATGGATGAATGGGTGAAAAAAAAAAAAAACTGTGGCATATATACACAACGAAATACAATAAAAAAGGATGAAATAATAATAATTTCATCGATAGCAATAAAAAATGATGAAATAATATAATTTTCAGCAAGATGGGTGGAACTTTAGGTTAATATGCTAAGTAAAATAAGCCAGGCACAGAAGACAAGTATTCCATATTCTAACTCCTATGTGAGAGCTAAAAAAAAAGAAAGTTGATCATATAGAGGTAGAGAATGGAATAATAACAGAGACTGGAAAAGGGTGTATGTGTAGAAGAGGGAATGAAGAGAGGTTGGTTAATGGGTACAAACACAGTTAGATAGAAGGAATACATTCCAATCTTTGCTAGAAAAGCAGGGTGGCTAGAATTAACAAAACTGTATTGTACTTTTCAAAATAGCCAGAAGAAGACTTAAAATGTACCCAACACATAAAAATGATAAACCCTTAGGTGATGAATACCCTAAATATCCTGAATTGATCATTACCCATTCTATGCATAGAACAAAATTTCACACGTACCCTCATAAATATGTACAAATATAATGCATCAAAAAGTATTTAAATATAAAAAAGGGTTCTTGTAAGAGGAAGGCAGTAGGGTCAGTGTCAGAGAGGAGGACACAACAATGAAAGCAGAAGTCAGAGAGAGAGAGAGAGAAAGAATGGAGATGTTACATTGCAGGACTTGAAGGTGGAGGAAGGAGCCATAAGTCAGAAAAGGCAAGTGGCTTCCAGGAGCTAGAAAATTCAAAGAAACAGCTTCTCTCTGGCTAGCATCTTGATTTAGAACTTCTAACTTTCAGAACTAGAAGATAATATTTGTATTATTGTATGTCATGAAGCCTGTGGTAATTTATTTATTTATTTATTTATTTTTGAGACAGAGTCGCGCTCTGTCTACAAGCTGGAGTGCAGTGACATGATCTTGGCCCACTGCAACCTCCACCTCCCAGGTTCAAGCGATTCTCCTGCCTCAGCCTCCTGTGTAGCCGGGACTAAAGGCATGCGCCACCACACCCAGCTAATTTTTGTATTTTTAGTAGAGACACGGTTTCATCATGTTGGCCAGGATGGTCTCAATCTCTTGACCTTGTGATCCACCTGCCTTGGCCTCCTAAAGTGGCCTGTGTTAATTTATTACAGCAGCCATGGGAAACTAACACAGTGCCCACTCAGGAGCTGCCACATCTTCTCTTCTGCCTTCCAGGCTGCTAAATAGGGAAAAATTTCATCATAACCAGGCTAGGGATATGCTGAGTCTGGTAGGAGCAGAAAGCAATTATATGCCTAAAAGACTACATCCTGAAGAACTGGCAGGAGTCAGGGAAGTTCTCCTGTAATTTGAATTTGAGGATGCTTGATCAAGGAGACAAAAAAGTAAAGCTGGATATGCAAGATTTCATTGAGTTAGAAGCACTTTATTTAACACAATTTAATGTTCTAGCAAGGTATGGAGAGAATGAGAAAAACTTGTTGCTACTGTGGCTCTTAGAAGCCTGGAGAAAAGCAATGGTCAGCTTTTGGCAATGTAGAAATGCCTGCATTTCCCTAGCAGGTGACAGAGGAAGAAATAAAGGGGCTGAGGGAATATACTTGCTAAAATGGATAAATGATGTGAGTCTAGAAGGTCCACCAGATGAGCATGTTCCATAGGAAGCCCAGAGAACACAGATAGCTTTCACCAAGGTCATCAGGAATGCACTGATGAGAGGGGACAGACCACCGTCACTAAGAAGTTCAGAGACAGTTTCTTTGCAGGCTAGGGTTAAGGGAGGTGAAGCAGTCACAGGTCTTAGCTTAGTAGCGTGCATGGGAATGATGGGACTGTGTAGAGGACTATGTTAGCACATTCCATAACAACACTGACAGTCTGATCTATAGTTTCAGGAGTGGGGCTTCAGAGAAAGTGAGTTCAATCTATTGATAGGAAACATAAGTTTTATTTTATTTTTTTTTAAAAAAAGGTCTATATTTCATCCATCCTTTAGTAACTCACCACTGTGTTCACTTCAGTAAAGTTTTCATAGCACATCTAAAGCCTCTGTGAGGCTCAGAAATATTTGTGAAACAAAATTCTGGAACCGCAAATAAAATGTTAAATGGTCTCTTTAAATAGAAAATAACATATCTGGAAAATTTTCATGTAACTGTGTGCTTTAATCAGCCTTTCCTTTTCTAAGCATTATGTGTTTAAGTAATAGGCAATAGAAATATACTAGGCCGGGCTCAGTGGCTCACACCTGCAATCCCAGCACTTTGGGAGGCCAAGGCGGGCGGATCACCTGAGGTCAGGAGTTCAAGACCAGCCTGGCAAACATGGTTAAACCCCATCTCTACTAAAAATACCAAAAATTAGCCGGGCATAGTGGCAGGTGCCTGTAATCCCAGGTACTCAGGAGGCTGAGACAGGAGAATCCATTGAACCCAGGAAGCAGAGGTTGCAGTGAGCCCAGATGGCACCATTGCACTCCAGCCTAAGCAATGGGAGCAAAACTTCATCTCAAAAAAAAAAAGAAGAAGAAGAAATATACTTTAATCTTTGGCAGTCAAATATTATGTCCTGTAACCAGATCGTAATCAAATGTCTTGGAAGTTATATAGTGTATAATCATAATATGTTGGTTTGACATTTCATATCTCATCAAAGAGGATGCCTACCTGCAATGCTCTCTTCAGTTGCAGAAGCTGATAAGTCAGATACTTCATCTTGTCCAGAGGCTTCATGGTGTAATGAGGAAAAAAGGGGGGCAGGGTTTAGAGTCCTGACAAAAGAGATAGGAATGTCAGCTCTGCCACTTCCTAGTTTTCTCAACCTGGACATGTTTATTAACTTCTCTCACCTCGGTTTAATCATCTATAAACAGGAAACAGACACAGGCTTCTTGCAAACCATATATGAGATAATATCAACTGATACCTGGTCAACAAACGCTAATTCTGTTCCAAAATCCACCCTCTCTCCTTCAGTGTTCTTTCTTAACCATCTCCATGTCCCGTGGTATTTTAGCCTTACAATGACAGATTGTGAAGAAACGGACTAGCATAGACCAAAAGATACATAGCCCCATCTTTGAAAGCCACTTCCATTCACAATGGTCAGAAAATCTTGAATTAAAAACAAAAACAAAAACAAAAAAAAAACTGACCTCTTTTACCTGAAGGGTTTTTATTTTTCCTCACAAGGTCATACATACTGGTTTTTTCTTTTTTAAATTTTAATGTAGTAAGAAACATTTAACACTTACCACATCTACCCTCCTACCAGATTCTTAAGTGTTCAATATAGCAATTGTTGTGCACATACTCAATGTTGCACAGCAGATCTCTGGGGCTTGTGCATCTTGCATAACTGATTTTGTGCCCCTTGATTAGCAACTCCCCATTTTCCCCTCCCCTCAGCCCCTGGCAACCACGATTGTCTTCTTTGCTTCCATGACTTTGACTGGCAGAGACAAATTCTTAGTAATCACCTATAAAACAGCTAAATTTAGATTTCTGAAGGTTTTAAACTACTCAGAGGGCTGTTGGTAGGGCTTTATTCCTGATTCTTGACTGCACTTATATATCTCTAACTACTAGCACCTGCCTTGGCCTTCCTCCTTTCAATCTTGTATTAGTCTGTTCTCACGCTGCTATCAAGAAATACCCAGGCTGGGCACGGTGGCTCATGCCTGTAATCCCAGCAGTTTGGGAGGCCAAAGCAGGTAGATCGCCTTAGCTCAGGAGTTTGAGACCAGGGTTAAACCCTGTCTCTACAAAAAATACAGAAATTAGTCAGGCGTGGTGGTACACACCTGTGGTTCCAGCTACTCTAGAGGCTGAGGTAGGAGGTTGGCTTGAACCTGGGAGGTGAAGGATTGCAAAGAGCCAAGATCACACCACTGCACTCCAGCCTGGGTGACAGAGCCAGACTGTCTCAAAAACAAAAAGCAAAAAAAAGAGAGAGAGAGAGAGAGAAGGAAGGGAGACAGGGAGGGAGGGAGGGAAGGAGGAAGGGAGGAAGGAAGGAAGGAAGGAAGGAAGGAAGGAAGGAAGGAAGGAAGGAAGGAAGGAAGGAAGGAAGGAAGGGGAAAGAAAGAAAGGCTGAGACTGAGGAATTTATAAAGAAAAGAGGTTTCATTGGCTCACAATTCTTCAGGCTCTACAGGAAGAATGGCACCATCTGCTTGGTTTCTAGGGAGGACTCAGGCAACTTACAATCATGGTGAAAGGCAAAGGGGAAACCAGCACTTCACAGGGCCAGAGCAGAAGCAAGACAGAGAGGGTGTGGGGAGGTGCTGCATACTTTTAAACAACCAGATCTCGTGAGAACTTATGACACAGTACCAAGAGGGGATGATACTAAAGCATTCATGAGAATTCCACCCCCATGATCCAGTCACCTTCCACCCGGCCCCACTTCCAACACTGGGGATTACAATTCAACAGGAGATTTGGGCAGGGACACAGATCCAAACTATATCAAATCTGTGATGTTGCTTTCTTACCACCTATATCACTACCTACTCACAGCTATAAATAATAGAGAAAATAATGCATTTACAATAGCATATCTCATAGTTTCTATCTGCCTGCCAGTGTAATGACAAGCAACCTCAGCCGAAACCCAAAGATAGCAGAATGCAATTCTAATCAGAAAAAACGCCCCTAACAGTTCAGTGGCTCCCTCCAATCTGTAGCAAGCTCACTCACATAACACTCCACCCAGAGATCTCTGCAGCTGATATGGTTTGGCTCTGTGTCCCCACCCAAATCTCACTTTGAATTGTAACAATCCCCATGTGTCAAGGGTGGGACCAGGTGGAGGTAATCGGATCATGGGGGCAGTTTCTCTCATGCTATTCTCGTGGTAATGAGTGAGTCTCAAGACATCCGATGGTTTTATAAGCATCTGGCATTTCCCTGCTTGCATGCATTCTCTCCACTGCCACCCTGCGAAGAGGTGCCTTCCACCATGATTGTAAGTTTCCTGAGGCCTCTGCAGCCATGCAGAACTGAGTCGATTAAATCTCTTTTCTTTATAAATTACCCAGTCTTGGGTATTTCTTCACAGCAGTGTGAGAACAGACTAATACAGCAGCTGTTCTCCATCAGCAACATCAGCCTTACTTAGATGGTTAAAAATAAAATGTTACATTCGGGGTGGGGGCAGGGTGAATGGGGAAGGTAGTGGCTAACCCAAGGCATTAGGCATTTTCTTGCTCAAGGAATGATTTTTGAAGATTTACAATTGTTTCTGTTCCTCTCCACTGGTATTTTCACCAGACAGATTTTTTGCTAAATGCCGCAGAATCATTAGCCAACTTATGTCCCTTGAGTAATGGTATTTAATGATTTTTTGCAGAAAAGTTACATTAGTATAAATCAGTGGTCTTCAACAGGTGGCAATCCTTCCCTATCCCAACATTTAGCAACTTTTGGAGACATTTTAGGGGCAGGAAATTCTAGTAGCATCTAGTGGCAAGGGCCAGGGATGCTACTAAATATCCTACAATGCCCAAGATAATCCCCCGCAATGAGGAATAATCTGACCCAGAGGTAAATAGTGCCAAGGTAGAGAAACACCAATCGTTCCATAATTTAGCTATGAATGCATGTATGGCAAAAGGGGAAGGAGCTATAATGCAATATCAAAAAAAAAAATCACGTTATAGCAAAAAAAAGAAGCTAACATGATCTTTGTCATAGAAGAAAACTTGTGACATTTGGAATAGGGAGCAAAAAGTCTTTGAAACACAGGAAGGAAACTTGCATTTATAACAGGTCACTAAAATTAATTAAAAAGATAACAGTGCCCTGAGCTTGCCAAGTATGCCATCGTGACTGTAGCCTCATGGATTCGTAGGCACGCCTGTAGGAATACAGAAATAGGTTTATTTAAGCCTGACTTTCTTTTGAGCACTGGCAACAGATGAGTTCTCTGCGCCAAATCCTGCCCATAGAAAGCTAATGGGTGTTGCATGCAGTTATCCAAGAACACAAATTGGCTTTGTGGCTTCTTGTGGCATTTGGCTAGCTGAATCAGAGGAAACAACTAGAAGCTGAGGCAGATGGTTCACAGGCAATATGCTATAATGTCTTCTTACAAATATGTAGTTATGTATTAATAGGTAACCTCTTAGGAAACATGGACAAATATATCATTTTTTGCAATTCCCAGTTTCTAATACAGCTCTGTATGTTGCTGGTGCTCAATACCACTGGTTTCATATTTGTTAAATTATTTCATACTCTCTTCAAACTCATATCCTCATATCTTTGGAATGTGGAAGCAGACACAAACAAGAAGTTTAGCAAGGAGTACTTACTAAATACCAAGTACTTCATCAAGGGCCAGAAACCCAGTGATAAATAAGATGAGTATGTCTTCCACCATTTCTGAGCCTGTTTCTCCTCTGAGTTTATTGTGGCCCTTTCTATCTAAGTGAGGCTGAAGGCCATTCCTGTAACAGAAGTAAAAGTTGAAATTCTCAACTCCACGCTTCTTCCATGAAGTCCTCCATCAGGAACATGCTAACAGGTTGGAACAAGAGTTTACAAATATGTACGCTGGTCAGGTAGAAGAGGGGAAATGGTGAAAGAGGAGTAAAGGAGAATGGTGTGACTTCTCAGGTAAAGAAACTATCTTCAACAAGCTCCTCTGACAGTGGGGAAGATGGTGTATAACGTGGTATTGAGTGGAGGCAGAACTATTAACCTGGACCAGAGCTACTGGTGTTGAAACAACGATTCTAGCAATTCTGAGACCAATGGAAAAAAAAAATTTTATAACCCGTCTGCCAGCCTGTAAGCCTGTTTCCACTTCAGAATTAATTAGTATCAACATTTTACCAGCCAATATGTCTCAAAAAAAAAAAAAAAATCAACAGTGTGCTTTGCTTTTTTCTTGCACAATAAACCCCTAGGGATTACAGATACATTTATACCACATCTTTCAGGACTGTTGGAAATATTAACCAAAAGTATGTGCCTAATGATTGTTTTCATTTTAATGCATTTGTATTATTTTCAATGAATGAAATTTATTAAATGACTATATAAATGTGATATAATATGTCTATAGGTAAAACAGTTTCCATAAGCCTACATAAAGCAGAAAATTTTGTCGGACTATTATATTCTGACTCATCTTCCACTTGTAAGATTAATATCTCCTATATGTAAGGTAAGTGGCTCTGTAAATTATCTGGTCAGAAGATGTGACTAGAAATTCATAAATGTTCTATTTCTATTAAACCTGTCTCATTGACACAGCCCACTTTTATTCTCTCCTATTCTGCAAGACTTCGAAGGCTGGTTTAACATTCCTGTGTTCTCAGCTATATAATTCTGGTCTTTCCACCAAAGCAGTTTTATTTCCTGACAGTCACTACAGCTTATGAAAGCCAGTGCTATTGGGAAAATATTCCAAATGCACAGGTTATGTGGTTGTGGAAAACAGACATTAATGGAAAAGGGACTGAAACCAAGTTCTCTTCCGATTGCTATTTTGGAACCTCTGGTTTTTCTGTGGAGCTCCAAGTCAGTGGTGATTGCAAAACCAAAAAGACCAAACAGAATATTCGAAAAGCAAATGACCAGGAGGAGTTTATTTAGAAAATAGATAAATACAAATTGTGCTTTATGGGTTTTCATGTTTATGTCAGAAGGAATGGGTAATGTTGGACGGTCTGAAAGTGATGCTGTGGAATTTCTGTATTTCTCTTACGTTTCAAATCATTCTCCCTGCATCTGATACTAAACTCTTCAGAAAGGTTTCACAGCTGTGTCCTTTGGGCACAGGGCATGTTCTGACATGCAGAGGATTGTCTTGCGCAGCCTGTGGCCGCCAGCGCCACCTAGCTTCTGTATACATTTCCTCAACTCAACAGTTTTCCAAATTGTTCAATTAAATGAGCCTGTCTTCCATGAGGGCTCAGAATCGGTCTCACAGATTTTGAATGATGAAATTCAGGACGGGAGTTGGAACAGCCACACTGCTCTGAATGGTTGTCAGGTAGAAAGACATGTTCTCTAAGTCTGTGGAACTTTAGGTAGGATTGACAACGTTTCTCAATGCATTCATCGCCTGCCTGTCTTTTATTTGACAAACCTTTGTGTGCCAAGCAGTTAGATAATGTGCACAGAGACCCAGCTTCTGAATTTTAACCACTATGTTTTAAATTAGTATTTCTAAGAAGAGAGTCTTTGCTAGGCTCACACTCAGGGACTGCTTCCCAATGAAGGAGATCAGAGTATGTCACCCCAAAATATGCCCCCATAAGAATTATTTTGAGCTAGGGGCAATTGAGAAAAAGCAGACACAGAAGAGCTCCGCCTACCACCTCTGCCTTAAAGCAGGGCATAAATTTCCCCTCGTGAAGGTGTTAAAAACTTCAGACGAATTAGATTTAACAATTTAATTAAGCTCATGAATCAGGCAGCTCCCAGAAACAAAACAGGTTTCCAGCGACTCTTGGGCTGCCACATGGTCAGGTAACATTAATAGGCAGGAAATGGAAAGTGAGGTTCAAAAAATAGAAGTGAGGTACAGAAACAGCTGGATTGGTTACAGCTCAGCATCTGCCTTGTTTAAACACAGTTTAGACAGTTGGCTGCCTGTGATTGGCTGGAACTCAGCTGCTATGATTGGCTGAAACTTGGCTACTTGTTAAAAGAATAGGTTACAGTCCATTTCAACAACCAGTTAGGCTACAGTTCAGTGTGTATGGAGAAACTGTAAGCTTTAGGCTACACAAAGGTGTCCCCCCACCCTCCCCTATTAGAAAGATGGGAACAACCCTTATCAGGAGATGGAGATAGCACACCAAGATGTGCTGTGTAAGCAAACTTTAGTAAATAACTCTTGTTTATTATTGCTTTTCCTCATAAATTTACTTTCCCACCATTCACCACCCCTAGAAGCCCAAACCCTCTTTCCTCTGTCATAGTCGCTTCTCCCCAGGTTATTGTCCTTTGCTAAAATGGTATAGACACCCTCCAGTTTACCTGCTTTTTGGGGGGTTTTCACTTCTTTTCTATGAAAACCCTGCACACATAAGAATATTAACATCACATACAATGTGTACAATTTTCTTCTATTCATCTGTCTTTGTCAGTTTAACTTGCAGGCCCAGCCTCAGAATATAAGAGAGTAAAGAAAAAGTTTTACCTCCCATACATTTAGAGTCAGTGAACAATTGATTACTAAACATGAGAAAGTTAGAAAATCTAGGGAAAATGGCATGAGGTAATTTGCTCTGTCTCAGAATGTCTTTCATCGTTCTGATGTCACCTTTGAATGGAGTTTATGATTCTTGTATCTTTAAAAGATAACAGCGATCTTATCCAAAGAATCATATGCTTCTATCTCTGGGCTAACCGATGACTATAATGAGAGAAACACAGGAGCACAGAATCATGGGTCAGGTTCATTCTTTGTAGATGAGACCAGTTGCTTGAGGGCATGATTCAGTATACTTTAGAGTCAGTGGGTGTTTGAAATATATAAATGAAATCGACACAGATAAATAGAGCAGTTGGACAAATAGCCTACTTGGATTGTCTGGAAGGCCTTTTCATTTTGTTTTATTTTGGAAGCCAGGACAATATGATTACCAACTATTAGTTGAATGACGAAATTTTCCAGATGGTGATGATGATTAGAATGATCAAGAAATTCAAAGCTGTTTCATCCTCATGGGAAGGCTTCAATGGAATAGACTCCCTGCTGCCTCCTGTAGACTTGGACTTATTTAGGGAAAACCCTACAATGACTACAGTTTCCAGTTGTAGCAACTGGAAGAAGAAAGAAATAGCACCTACAAGCCTGAAAGTTCTCTTCCTTTCAATGAAAAAGCAGCTTAAACCTGTCCAAAGTCATGTATGTTACCTCGCCAAGTAAAATTTTATCATTCTGTATGCTGAGTGAGGTTTCTTCCCCTCCCAAGAGGCTTTAACTATAGAAACTTTATGGTTTTTTTGTTTTTTGTTTTTTTTTAAAGAAGGGGGTCTAGCAACAACCTCAGTCATTCTTTACTGACAAAGGAAGCAAAGATGAAAGTCCAATTAAAAGCCCATGAAATTTCCATCATGTTTCTTTGAATTGAGTTTGGAGTCTTTGGAATTCTCAAAATAATTCACATGAAGATCTCAGATGCCCATGTATTTTCTGACTCCCTTCAAGGTAGCCATATGAGGAATGGCAATAAGTTTTATACCAGCATTTGCTGACAGTAAAATATAATGAAAAACATTTATTTGTAATAATGTTGACCACATTCTAACTGCCATTTAATGTAACCACACTATATTTCATAAGGTTTCAATTTAGCATAGCTAATCACAGGGCCAGTTCTACTCTGATGTAGATCTTTTGCATTCTGCCTAAGAAAATGTACTGAAGTGCTGCTTCGGAGAGAAACCCAGCCAAAGTCACATTTGGAATTAAACACGTTAGAGTTTTAACGTGTGCAGGTTTGTTACATATGTATACATGTGCCATGTTGGTGTGCTGCACCCATTAACTCGTCATTTACATTAGGCATATCTCCTAATGCCATCTCTCCCCTCTCCCCCCACCCCACAACAGGCCCCAGTGTGTGATGTTCCCCACCCTGTGTCCTTTTAAGCCACCACATTTGTGGTCATTTGTTACAGTTGCCCTGGGAAACTAATACAGTACATTCAAATATCACAACAAAAAAAAATCAACTAAGAGGAATGAATGTATAAAAACAAATCCTGGCCAGGCGCGGTGGTTCATGCCTGTAGTCCCAGCATTTTGGGAGGCCGAGGCGGGTGGATCATGAGGTCAAGAGTTCAAGACCAGCCTGGCCAACATGGTGAAACCCTGTCTCTACTAAAAATACAAAAATTAGCTGGGCATGGTGGCATGCACCTGTAGTCCCAACTACTTGGGAGGCTGAGGCAGGAGAATTGCTTGAACCCGGGAGGCAGAGGTTGCAGTGAGCCAAGATCGCATCACCGCACTCCAGCCTGGGAGACAGAGTAAGACTCTGTCTCAAAAAAAAAAAAAAAAAATCTCCACTGATCAGTGGAGGAAGCCTTTCCTCACATCCACCCTCCACATCTATCAGCATGGGAAGCTGCAGTGAGAAAGTTTACATCTTTTAAAGCAGTTAAAATTTAGAAGTATAAGAATCAACAAAACTATAGAAAGTACTATTGACTCACCATTTCCTAAGCATGTCTTTTTTTGTTACACTTCCATAACTTTGCAAATAGTGTTCTCTTAGCCTGGGATGTCTTTTTCTACCTATGGAATCTCTACATACCCTTCAAGATGGGGGACAAGTGCTGTCACCACTTCCACGAAGCTACCTTCTACACACACACACACACACACACACACACACACACACACACGAGGCTACCACTTTATTCTGGCTTCTACAACGTTTTTTACTTACCTCTAGTACAACACACATTACAATGCTTTGTGGTTTTTGGTTTATGGAGCTGTCTCCCCCACTAGGCTGTGAGGTTTACACGTGCAATACTATGACCTGCTTATTCTCATCCCCTCTATATATGGTCTCCAATCATTCAGTAGTCTAGGCTGAATTTCCTTACCGCGTAGTGGCTAGGTTCCAAGGCCTAAGAAGCAGAAGCTGCCAGTTATCCTAAGGCCTAAATGCCAAAGTCCTGGAAAGTTGTTTCTATTTTATTCTATTGTGCAAAGCAAGTTATGAAGGTATTCTAGATTAAGGGGTGGGGAAATAATTTCCTCTTGTTAATCCAAGACACTGCAGGCATGTACAGAGATGGGAGGAATTGTTGATGGCCATATTTAGAGACTGACCTACCTCACCTGAATTCCAATCCCAGCTCTGTTCTTAATAATACTATGACCTTAGCCTCAGATACATAATCTCTATGCCTTTACATCCTCTCCTATAAAACTAGGATAACACTATCTATTTGAAAAGACTGTTAAAAAGACTAAAGGAGATATTATAATTTACTTAGTGTG